ACCTAGAAATCAGAGAAAAGATGATTCCAGATGAAGAAGTATATTTATTGCTAGCCTCGCGATACCGAAATAATATCGAGGCCAGAGGGTACTCAAGCGGCTAATGACAAGGCAGGAGAAGCGCGGAGAAATAGAATGGGAAAAACATGCTTGGAGCAGATAAGCATAAGGAGTACAATATAACAGTTATTGTCAGAATTAAGTACAATAATAAATGTTTATATTTCAGCAATTGTGTTTTCTTCGTGAAAGTATACCACTACAAAGTACTGAAACTTCATCAGTTGAGGTGTTTGGGACACGTGCTACGTATGACTAACCACCGAATGCCTCTAAAAACAATATTTTGTGGTGTAGGGATCGACTGGAACAGGGCTAGGGGCAACCTAACAAAAACACTGCACAAATCCATGAAGTAACTGAGCCTTGTTTTTAGGTGTAGATTATCTGGTTGGGGTCCATCAAATTCTCGCGACTTGAGCGATAGAGCTCAAAACTGTTTGCAACGGCGTAGATGTATCCACTTTTTGTCTTCCCTCAACTCCTAATCTTGACTTCCTCATGACCTTATATTTTATTTTAAATTTACTTCGCTGGGATATTCTTCTCCAATAATATCTTCGATCCCTAATCTTTTCCATTACCGTTAAAACTGTTGCAACATCTAACAACTAGAAATTCCATTTCTCTTTGCTAATGTGGTATAGTGACTTGGACTAATGTATGTATATACCAGGTTTTACATAGTAGCTGACTGACTGAGGTAATAATGTCACTTCATTAACTGTTGCACGAACAGTGATTGAACAGAGACTGAACCTGTAGTTTATGCTTCCAGGGGAACAGTTTGCTACAAGCTCAAGTTTATTTTTTAAGCAAGTCTGGTAAAATCATTTCTCAGAGTCACAAATAGAGGGATGGCAGTACATAATCCTTGAACTGAACCAAGCTCGAGCTATGAATAACTGAATAATGAAATCATATGAACAGTGGTCATATAACTGCACAAACTCCTTAAAGACAAAATTATTAGGCATTCAATATCGACGAAGTAAATCAACAAAGTAGAGCTTCTGCAACTAGACCTCAAAATCATTGCCTTGTAAGCAAACAGTGATTGAAGTGTACCAGACCAGGATGAAATAGCTATTTACTAACATTTTTTAAAACTGGATATTCTCTATTTTCTGTTTTATGATTACACCTAATGGATTATTCGTACAACCATGATTCAGTTAGTGACTTTTGCTCGTTTATCTAATATCAGTAATCACTTGAAAAACAAGTACTTGGTAGAAAAATGCATACTATATATATATATATATATATATATATATATTAGACCGACATATACTAATTGAAGGAATATTAAAAATAGTGGGTACAGGAACAGCGGTGACAACAACAACTATAACAATAATCATGGAACTCACTTCATTCACTTTAACAGATGAATCAATATGAATAATTTGATCATTTGTGGGATAATTTTCTAATGGTTGTAAAGTTACTACTATAATATCGTTACAAGTAATATCGTGATTATTTATTGCATCGGTTGATGCATAATGTTCGTTCTTCGTGGTATTGATGGTACAAACGGGGTTAGTTATTAATTTTATCTGAAAAATATTTAAAAAAATTATAATAAAAGAAATATTGAATTAGGTAAGCATCATCAAAACTGGTCGTCATTACTCAAGTGATGAGGTCAATCGAATTTCGAATAGTTTAAACAGTGAAAATATTTGTCAAATAGGGAAATTGAGTAGGACAGATTTATTTCTTCTGCCGAGTGTCTGTCTGTCAGTGAATGGAGTTACACCTTAATGATGGGTGCTGAATAAGCATGATCTAAATTTAGTTTATTAATACTTTAGTGAAACATATAAACACTGGTAAGGTTAGAACCATTCTGTTTTCAGATATCCGAAATGGTCTAATCAACTCTTAATCTGTAGAAAATCTCACTTATAAAATCAACACATTTAATAGCGATTACATGCGTAGGATAATAGCAATAGTTATTTCTTATTGAAATGATATTGAACAGTTCATGATTTGAATGAATTTTGACAATCTGCATAAACTCTAAATGACAATGAACATGTGTTTCTCATAAACTAGCTTGCAGAGAGGGAATTTTCGAAGTTCTAGTGAGAATGCTTGACTGATGTAGTTAAATTGTTTTGTGTGTAAGGTGTTAACATACTTGGGTCAAATAATTTTTTGGTCTCTTATTTCTTGTCTACGTTTTCCAATGTTAAGTATTATGTGAACTCTGTGGAATTATCTTTTGAACAGACTTTAAGAACCTAAACTCATTAATACAATGTATTTACGCAATGACGGAAAATGAAGTTACTATTCCGTATTGTGTGTGACATACTGTTGACTGGATAGCACATTCACATGCTTACTTGCTAATATCACTATACTTTTCACTGAAAATTCCACACTGTGTTTTCTTATAGCGGAATGAGATTATCATAATTGAAGTTTTATTCGCATCATGAGGTTTCGAGTAATCAGAACTTGATTGAAATGTGTTTGAAAGAACAAACGTAAAGTTATTTTTCCATTCACTTCAATATTCTCGCATTTGTTCTTCACAAATATTTCTTTTACTAGCTGGTAGAAAAATTAAATGTTGTTTGGTGCACGGAATTCTAAATGTTTTGTTTTAATTTCCTGGAAAAACAATGACCGACTGCAAATTAGATTGTCAATCTTTATTCCTTTGCATGACTGAATGTTAAATGTGAATACTAACATTGTAGCACCTCAATTTTTTAATTGTTGAGATTTGTGTGACCTTTAATGCTTGGGCATCGCTAACGACCTAAGTACATTCTCAGACTGTGTATAACATGGCTGAAAATCATTGGCGATGGCGCAGGTGCATCCATTTTGAGTCCTCTTTCAAATTCTAATCTTCTTAATTCCTCAAGAGCCTTAATCTCTTGATTTACTGGATAATACTTCTTGAATATCATCTCTGGAACCATCACTACTATGTGACTTGAATTAACAATCCGATCCCTTAGTGCTAATACGGTATGGAAACTCAAACCGATGTATGTATATACCAAGATTCGCATTTTATCTCGCTGACTGACTGGCTGTTCATTATATAAAGTATGCACAACACAACTACTTTCGACGCATTCATGCATAATAGTCGTACTTCATTTCAATCCCTTCTTCAGTCAGTTCTGTTGGTATGTAAATTACATCTGTTCTGAACTCAGCAAGCGAGGCTGTGAGAAAATCTGAACCAAGCACTTAAAAAATCGTTACGCTTTCTCTCGGCTACCAGAGCCGATTTTCGTGTGATTCGGTTAGGTCAGAGACAAGGTTGCACAAATCGATGTTATCACTGGTAGCTTTGACGTGTTGTATCAGTGTACGGCTGATAATTCAGATTAACATCTATCAATGATCATGTGCTTTACAGTTGACTATAGAAATTCGGAATCCTGATTCTGCTCTTCATATAAATCGCAATCTATAGCTTAAAAACATTGGTAAGGGTGGTTTATACAAAAGTGACTGATTCACTCGGCGTTCGTGTAGAATAACATGAAAGAACTTTTTAGTTTGGTTATTTTGGTCGAAAAAAAGTTTATATCTTTCTGTCTAAAACAGATGCTTCTGTGCAAAATCTTCAATATTATCTCTGAAACCAACATTACAATGCAAGACTTGTGGAATTAATCAGTTTTGTGTATGAGGTGCTTACTCAAAAAGGTCAAATAATACTCCGTTTCCTTAATTTCTGTCTACGTGTACGATTGCTGTGTCATTAGAACTCTTTGGAACCTTGTGGAATTACCTATTGAACAGACTATCAAATCTTGAACTAGTTAATACATTGAATTCATGAAATGAAGATGTAGAAAGTTCTGATTACATTGTGATATGCAGACGAGTAAGTGAGATAGCAAACGGAGGAGATGACAAGTTTTGAAACACTGTGTATCAAATAATGTGATCAATAATGTAGAATATTCACAGCAGACTAACTGTAGATAAGAATCGCTATTGATTTTACTTATAACCGTAATAATTTATCGGATAAATGTGGTGAAGTTTCATACACCAAGAATATTCTGTTGCACTTAGTAAAATTATTGCTACAAATGCTGTGATTATTTCAGGTCATGTATAGAGAAAATAGTAGGATTAAATGATGACCAATGAAAGAATATAACACATCACTTTACACATAAATGTCATAAATGCGGAACGAAACCTTTAAAGTTTGTTTAGAAAAAATATCTGTAAATTATCGATCAATACGACGCACGTGATACATAATTGTTTAGTGAAGTCCTAATACCATCTCTCAATGATCATGTCCGTTATAACTGGTTGTAGAAATTCGGAACAGAATTCTTTTCTACATACAGATCATAACACTATTTAGTCTAAAGCAATATGTAAGATTTGTTTATACAAATATGGCTGATTCATTCAGCAGAATAACTTACGAGAAATAATTAGTACTGTTGAGTGGATAACAGACATCCGATGCCTTCTGTCCGAAACAGATCGTACGCCTCTTCCTTTCAAAATCCAGTTGTGTAGCGCATGGAGGTGTACCGAATTAATAGTTCATGTACTTTCTTAGTGCTTAGTTGCTTCGTTCCATCTGTAACCTTAAACGCAGTATTGGCTGCTAACTATGATTCTCCAGCCAACTGCACCTTAGACCTTTCTTTCCAGTTTTTCCTAATAGCCACACATTCTTTTCATAGTTTACTTCATGAAAACAAATTAACTGTTACTCTTGTTTTCAAAATGACACATCGATCACGTGACTCTCGAAGAAATTCGACTTCATCATGTGACATCATAATTCTTGTAAAAGAACACCTATCAACAAACTCTAGAGCAGAGTGTTAATAGTTCAAATTACATTCTCTGTTACATTCTGTTACAATTTTCATCAACCCTGATATTTTATCCAGAATAGAGAATGGCAGAAAACACACATGTATGATTATAAATCACAAATTCTGTAATTTCATTTAAATATTAGCAAAAAAAAATAACTCAACTAATCAAAACTAATCGTCTAATAATCAAATGTGTTACATATTCAGTTGTATGTAACAAAATTTACAGATCAAGAGAAAAGTGTTGCACATTTTTTAAAGAAGAATTTGCGAAAAATCAACAATGACGAAAACAAAAATAACAAAATCAGTGTAATTGAAACGACAATAATGATTGTAGTCGTCGAACGTTGAGATCGAGAAATATTCTAAAAAAAAATATGAATACACATTCACAATGAGTATGTGTCATAAAGAACTGATTGATTGTAGATGGCCATATTGACAACGGACACTCACTGTGCCTTGACGATTCTTTGAGCATACTTCACAAAATCACATCTGTTCATTGTCGATGACAGTATATAACCGGCGGTAGATCACATAATGTCGACTATTCTCACGCTATCCTATATCCATTCATTCAGACAGGTAGACAGATACAACGCAGAACTTCGTACGTGAGTACATCAGTTCAGGTTGCCATACCACATCAGAACACAGACAAAACTTCCAGTTCAAATCCAATAGTGGTAGAGATAGTAAAAGTCTTAGCAGTAATCGAGAAGATTAGTGTTTGAAGATATGGTTCGAGTAGTATAATTCAGTGAGATAAAGTTAGAAAGAGCAATATAGACATGATGAGGAATTCAGAAGGTTAGAATTTAAAACAACGCAACGAGTGGATACACTTGCGCCATCGTAAACGATTTTGAGCCATGTCGTTAAAGGTACCTAACCATCGATGACTTACGTCTCGCGAACACCCACCAGGTAGCCTACATCTACCAATATGACTCAGTCCACTTGTTATTGATTTCATGTATTTGTGCCATGTTTTGGTTTGACCAACCCCAGCTTCCTTCCGAACTACTCCTACACCACAAAACACAGCTCGTCTAAAAAGTCAGTAGTTAGGCATCCCAACAGTAGCTGCTATCATGACGTGGTGGTTGGCCTTGCCTATTGTGATGACCGAAACGAGCTATATTGGATGGATATGTTCCTGAGGGTTCTACTATGCCTACCTACGTGGGTAGGTCAACTGGAGAACGACGAGGCTAAAACGAGCAATTCAAGTTCTGAGTGTGAAGACTTACTGCTGACCACAGAGGGCTGTGACACCAGTAAGGTGTTTTCCTCAAACAACCAGCATCCATAGCGTTGCTACCTTCTCACAAGGAAGGATGGGTTAGAAAAGGTTGACCATAAAAATGTAACACCTCACCTTACCTCACGGACATCCGTCTACTGAGGGTCAGTATATAAATGAGCGTATTGTCTACTATGATCGCCGTGTTTTGGAGTTAATAACTGTTTGTATATTACAGTCATTGGTGTTCCTATTCACATCGTGATTGAAGTAGTGTCATTTTGTCGCTGATCTCACATTACAACACATGTAGGCAACAATCAAACGCGTTATCCAGTGGGAACATTTGCGACATCAAACAAAACTACACCGAGAATGGTATGTAAAATATAACAAGCACTTGCCTTTTGTTCTTCCGTATTCTCTGAAGTAGTGACTTCAGAAGTTGCGGTCGTCAAATCTTGAGGCTGAGAAATATTCTGAAAAATAAGATCATATACACAGTGTTTATGTGTAAATTCTTAATTTGTTACTGTTTAACTGAATGAGTCTGATTATTGCTTAATGTGGCTTTTGTATGTTTGCATTCTCACTGTTGCTTATTATCAATGATAGCATACAAGCGACAGAAAACCACATGATGTCGTCTATCATAACGCTTTCTTTCTGCATGGCTAATATAGTGCTGGTGGAAATAATTTCATATATCAATGAATGGTCTGTTTATTTTTAACTTGTGAAATTATTTGAATTTATATTTTGAAAACTGTAAGTCAAATATAATTTATACTTACCATTTTATCGCAATCGTTCTCTAACCACTTTATGATTTGAATATCTTGACCATTACTGCACTTTTTAATAGTTGGACACCAATAACACCTCACTTTTGATATGGTTGAGTTAAAGCATTGTTCAGCTGATTGTTGTTTGGAACAAATTTCTGTGGAAAGAAATACGATTTTAGCAAACAGCTATAAAACTAATTATCAATCGATATCATGATTATGTCCACTGAGTTTCTTTCAACGTGACTGATTTCTACCTGGCATATATAGGGTATTGATATGATTGAGCAAAGTGTTCTGAAATTCGGTCTCTGATGAAAAGTATCACGAATTACTTCGAATGTTTCTGTGATTTATCACCTCAGACATATTCAATATAACATTAAGTCAGTGAAATCGGAATAGAACTAATCATCTTTGTATCATGGTTGACTAACTCATGTTTCACTATCTTATCCATTGTGATGTTGTCAATGGTGTGGAAATGAGGCAATCAAAACCAATAATGAACATTATCAAATGATATTGAATGCAAAATTATGAGAAGCATTTTAACTCCTTATGACAAACAATATGTAAATCAATGAAGACAAGTAAATGTATCTATGATATGTGATCAGTCACTTTAAAATCTCCACATATCAAACAAATTCAGTCTGATTAGTACTTGTATAATGTAAAGTCGATAAAAGTCACTTATATTTTTAACATACTTGGCATTGGTACATACTCCACTAATGTACGAGATTGAATGAGGGATTTAGTAACTTCCATTGTATTGTATGCTATGAAGAAACAAAAACTGTTCAATTCTTGATCATGGTTTTAGAGAGATTATGGAAACTTTATCATCAAATCCAATCCAATCAATTCTTCATTGAATATCTTGCACATTGTATGTACTGTGTACTGTGATACGTTCGGATAGGTGAAAAAGCCCGTTGGCTTTTTAACATATTATTTCTCTTTATCTCATCGATTTCTTCACTTGGCTAGAGGAGCGTGACTGATTGTAATGGTGAGAAATAATATGTAGTATATCGCTTACTCTAGTTCTTTGCGTTCGGTCATGAATCGTCTATCTGGTGAAACGTGATCTAGTCTCTGTGTGTAAAATGACGTTCCAATATCCTATCCAACGGTACTATAATCAACACCATCAAACAAACCAGTCTCGTTTTGTCTCAATATTCTACTAATTTAGTAATAGGACGGGAGAAAAGATGTCCCAGTGCTACTGTTACAACAGTCTATAATTCCTCTACTCATACTCTGATAAAAGTTATACAATCACAGCAGACCTCGTTGATTTTATTCATCAACGTGTTGATCTATGTGACCGATATTTCTGTTTGGCCGTTAATCTACATTCGAATTCCTTATACATACACAACTTCTAGGTTATATGTAACAGAAATTATAAAAACACATCTCAACACATCGCTATTGAATATTCACATATCAGTGAATTTAAAACAAGATACCATGAAGATCGACTAATCAATTTTTATGTTTCAATAATCATTCATTAAGATTGGGCTACATGCTAATGATTGATAAATGAGATCATTGCTTATCGAAACAGAAACAAAATTCTTTCCAATGTTTCTTACCCGTTTCAGTATTCTTACACACCAAATCATTTGAAATGCCCGACTCAATTTCTTTGCGATTTATGTTATTGGGTATCTGAAATTCCAGACAATATATGTCAACAGACAATCTCCAATATTATAAAAACATTAGTATTCAAAGTAATGGAATTACTTAACAATATCAAACAAATTGTTCAGTGATTGAAAATTCAATCATGCTTATCGACCTAGTTGACATTGTCATGACTGTGAATTACTCTTAGACGATTCATCAATGGAATTCAGCATAGTTTAACTTTAGTAAAAGTCATTTGAAATCTCTAATCTGAACTTCGTCACAACATTCCTATATATACACAGTATGTCTTCGAAATGTTATGTAGCATCACTACGTCTACGATTAACAGAATACTTGAATTTTTTTCATCAATCGTTATGCCTTCAAATTATTCCCATGGTTGATAACGCGTTCTCTCTACAATTAATAGACGAAAGTGTGTGGCAATGAGAATATCACTGAGCCATTGATATTATTTAATGGCGTCTTTTTATAATGTGAAGTATGTACTGTCATGCACATCAGTCATCTATTACAAGAGACAATAAATTTAACTGGACCACTTTAATTAATTTTATTATATATTATCCACTTATCGGACTTGCCTTTTCGTAATAGAAAGTTATGTTTCCATTTGCGTATAGATATGAATGAACCTGAACTGGATGGTGTTTGAAAGCGATCATTAGGCATGTTAATCGTATAAAAGTAAATCAATATATACGTAGCACTCTCGAATGCACTACTGTACAAATATTTTTGAAACGATTACATTTAAATCAGATACTCAGTGATATTCGAAATGTTCTGCGTCCACATGATAGCAGTGATTACATTCAAGTGAAACGAGTATCAATTCTTCGATAACCTAGTCAAACACTTAGATTCACATTAAATATTTATCTACCAATTCAAACGAAAATTATTCAAGCTTCCTGAAAGATTTGTTCGATGCAGCAGACTTTTCAGTCGCATTTGTACATTGTAACTCCGCCAGTAGAACCTTAGCGGCTACTGCCGGTCCCAAGCCCGGATAAACGAGGAGGGTTGGACATGGGGTTGGCGACCCCATTCCGTCGAAATCTCACTTGCCGAAAAAACGCTTACCAGAAAAAAAATTCGCACATTGTCCTCAAGCAATCGATAACAACTACGAAACACTGATTTCGTGAAGTGATTTGGGCTCTGAAGTTTTATCTTGACAAAATGTTCTCTTCCTTGTCGTATAGCTCCGTCTGGGCATACGGTATTTGAACAAGCTAGATTTGTTTGTTTAACACGATGAAATTCAACCGCCATATATATCATCTAAACGATGTTACATCTTAAAAGAATTCTATTGATAAACGAGTTTGTGATTTGGGTATGTTTCGCACATACAAATGGGATTTCAAGGAATATCTAATGCGAAATCATCACCAAAGTGACATCCGCTGTTTGCATCACGCCCAACCTGTCGATTACTGGTTGAGTTAATCCATCGTGAAACATCTCCTGCACTAAGAATACAAATTATTTCGTTCAGTAATAACTAACTGAAAAGTCACAACTCTTGATTGTGTAGATAAAGTCGATGTGACTGCAATGATCGAACAAATACATTTTTGTGAAATGATTGAAAAACACTAAACTATCATCTTACAAACACAAAACTTACTTGATTTATCCTTAGATAACCATTTTACAGCCACAAACTTATCTGAAATCATGAATATAGATTGAATAAATCAAATCCATGCAAGATTGAGCTTTACAAATGGCTATTGTTCACATTTCAACATTCATGTGATTGACTGCAGTGAAATAAGCAATCTTTGCCTACATGGAAATAGTAGACGATTGTAATCTTGTCGATAAGTTCAATCTACCGACCGACACAACCGAGAATACTGTTCTAGTTCACTGAAGTCAACTCTTCAATGTTCAGTCTGACTCAGTGTCTACTAACATCTCTCTAATAATATGTAACATAGTTTTACAAGAAATGTTTCCATTCAAGCAAAATTTGGTAACTCGCTCTCACAAAAGTCTGCGAATACTTTACAAATTTCGGACTACAGATAGTTAACAGTTTTCTGTTAATCGAATGTAATTTGGTATACACGATCAAACCGACAGATGTGTGACAATCTTTTCTCATCCACTTTAACTCTGATGAGTGGTGATTGAGTTGGATGCAGTAAAATGGATAACATCTAACTGAGACGGCATTGAAGTTGTATTAATCTATGTTTTATATGTCCATTTCGAAGTATTATTCAGTTTACTGGACATCGCTGTTCACAAAATTCTTTAACACAGTTTACAAGTTACACAAATTTTACAGTGAATAAAATAATTTCTCACTAATTGCTAACTCAGTGTAATCAGCAAACGATAACATTTTGTCAGTTCAGTATTGAGTAAACCGTTCAGGTTCTAATTCAAAGTAAATATTTTGTCAGTACAGGGTTGTGGAAACCTAGAAGCACTAGACTAACGTTTCTCCCTATTATAAACGCCAGGAAAAGTGCGCATTCATCATTCCACAGGCGAAAATTGAACGTAGTGACGTTGTTATGTGAGCGAATGCTTAACTTGTAATTCATTCAATCGGCAGCCAACTCTGTTAGCTTTGAATGTAGAATGCAGACAATGGCATGTTATCCCAAATGGAATAACTCACCTTCAGTTGCAATATATACATCATATTGATGTGAGGATTTGTATATGAAAGTATTAATTCTTCGTATCGTTTCAGATAGTTCGTTTGAGTTAGTTACGAATAAACGGCAACTTTCTAATAAATAAAAGCGCAGAAATGTATTAAGTTTATTTAGATACAAAATAAACAACAAACTTTTCAAGAAAAATGTGGAAATGTTTTGTAAATTCACTTTTTAATAAGCAACATGATACATTGAAATTAAAATTTCTGACCTCTTTTATTCACATTGATCACATCGTAGTGTTCCCCATAGAATTCAACGCTGAATGGTGGTCTGATAACCTTTAATTAAAATTAATGAGAAAAAATCAATTTTTTTCAGTTCGCTTAACAAAATTCATAACTTACCGCATCGTTTTGCTGCATTTCATGGAATTTTCCATTCACCATTGGAGAAGGTTGTTTTAGATTGATTATCTGAGAATAATAGTAACGACCATACTAGTTTTCTGTGAATAATTGTCCAATCACATTCATACCTCTCTATAGGTTTCGTTTACATAAACTATTTCTCTATATGGATAGAAGATGATTTTATCCAGTTTTCGACAAACGGTTTGACATTGCAAGTAACTTGGAAATGCAATTCCAATGAAATAAAATAATATCAAACGTTTAGATGACATATTCTTATTCCTATATGAAAAGTCTGAAATGAATAGTAGAATGGTGATTAGTGAAAATCAATTTACAGTACAGTACATATATGCTTATCATAGTGTCTAAGCGAAGACTCACCACAACTCCTGATGAAAAGAATAATTCGAAAATGTTATTTATATATCAGCTCAATATCAATATATTTTATCATTGAAAATATTCAATCTGGATTGGATAATCTAGATTGATTGAATAACATAATACTAATTGAAATTGAGAAAATCGTGCATTAATTGGTTATCTAAACATTCTGCTCAATCAAAATCATTCTTATCTCATTTCATTGATGCATACATAGTTTGCAATCACAAGAAAATAAGCTTTGAAAAATTTGAGAAAATTAGAAATATTCAGCGACACAAACTGATCATTTTGTTAAAAAAAAAATAATAATAATCATTATTTTTTACGTGAAGAACAATGCAATTAAGCGTCCAGTAAATAAATAAACACATTCACTCGTTACTGTCAACAAAAAATACATTCGAACTATATTGGTTTGTAAAGATTGTTGAGTTTCATGAAAATCATGAACAGATCAATCTTAAACCAATGAAAGATCGTGCATTCAGCTTTTAGTCCCATCTAAAAATTCAGAAGTGAAATCCCTACCTAGGGCGTTAGTTCTCATTTAGGAACACTGAAGCTAATTACCAGTCAGCTGGGAAGCGACAATCTTCTCTTAAATACCTACACATGCTTTTCTGTATGTGACTTGTAGAATGTGGAGTTCTTTCACGATTGTTTCGTTCAATACTATGTAAAATGTTCAAGTTAATTCAACTTCAACAACGTGTTATATGTGTTGTCTCATGCCAAATAATATTTCAGTAATACCGATATGGATCACGTGCAACTGGCACAGACTGTATAACAGTCTATTGATCTAAATGGTATGTAGAACTGTTTTATAATGATACCACGCATTCACCTTATGAGACATTCAATTTAATTATGTAGATAACATAAGATACCTTAATATAGCATGTTCGCTTTCGCTGTTGGTAAAGTTTGTGATGTGATATTAATAGTATAATCAAAAGAAACATCTTCATGATTAAATAATAAAAAAATAAATTTAAACAAAACGTACTATCAGTGGGGTTTGTATTTTTTTGAAACTGTTGTCTTTGCAAACTGATTCAGTTGAATCTAAAGGCATTAATGTTTATTCAATAAAATGATCCTGATAAGTGTATACATTTTAATAAGCATTCGTTGAGGTTATTAGTACAGTTTGTCAATAATTTAATGAATCTAAATAACCGCTTAAGACGCAATCATTTAAATGAAATTTGTATTTATTAAAATACATTTAGCATCATTTTCAATTTAATCCTTTTAGCTTTTTTTCAATCAAAATTTATTAGGTTTCATGTTTCGCCTCAAAATTAAAAGCAAGTACTCTAAGGAATTTGTATATTTCCCAAAAATGCCTCTTAGAAAAACAGCTATTATCTGTTTAACCGCATATGTCCTGATGCAATCGAGAGTTGTGAATAGTCAGATATCTTTCTTGAAATGCTTTCATATTGCCAAGAGCATGTAACCATTGACAGTTATGTCCCATATACTGCTTTCTCAGATTAATAAGGGTATCGTTTTAGAAATGAGGAGCGCGGAAAGCGAATTTTCGCTGGAAGCACAAAAAAGGTCACTGGGTATGGAGGATTCTTATTGTTGAGTTTCAGAACCGTTATTCCAAGCCAATGATGAACATGGGCTTCAGGATCATGAGTAAAGAAATGGCGAATAAGCCTATTGTCGGTAACTGTAGAGCACAAGCCACTAACCTGGGATCCCCAAAAACTGCTCCAAAGCTTATTTACAGTTATTCCAAAGTAACATCCACACTCTTAAAGTTACTTTTTGTCTATTTCCTATCGTTTGAGGACTCTCAGTTTTGATTTGCTCTGTGGTACAGTATAGTGTTCAGAACTACTACTACGAAAGCCATCCCAACATCGATAGTGTCTATTATTCTGGATCCATCCAGCTGTATGCGAAATGTCCACTGTATCTTGTGGTTCTTCAGAGGTGTGAAAGTATTTATTATCTAGTCACCAACCAGAAAATACAGGAATGTAGGAGTGAGCAGCCACATCGCTCGGTATGAATAGGAGTCTACCCTGCATGAAGAAATGTGCAGTATATTTCATCATAATAATTTCGTATGATAGTGAGAATCATATCATGTATCCATAGTTTCGAAGAAGCTTCCGTTGGATTTTTCTATCCACTCTGTTAAATGCTTCATCGCAGTCAATGAACTTGATTTTTAAAAAAAGTCCTATATTGTTTCTCTTTCCTTGTATATTATTCAGAGCATCAACAGTGATCCGCTCTTCGTTATGGTGGTTTTCTTTTCATCTAATAGAAATTGTATGGCGTGGATCTTATTGCTGAAACCCATAGTGAATTTCTTACGTCTGTAGGCATCTCAGATAACGGTTGTTATGAGACTTTTGTAGTGCTACTTGTCCACATGACTGATTCTTGTAAAAATTCAATTTTAGCTTACCATCACCAGTTTAGGATAGAATCTATTTCATCTTCCCTGGACTTTCTAAATTTTTATTTATAGAGATGAAGTTGATCTGGTTTTCTGTAGTATGGTTCATGTATGTGGGGGGAAAAAGTGCAGATAGATGTGACACTTTCGCTTATTTCTTCCGGATTATGTTGCCACGCGCTAGTTTCTTAATCATTGTTGGACGTCACGGATTCGAAGATTAGCCTCGCCATCAGCATTGTAAGAACTTTTCCGATCACATCTCTACCATCGACATTAGCCTCTCATATATGGTCTTTATCACCAGTGCTGTCATTGTAAAGAGCGTAGCACAGGATAACGTTTATTGTAATCATTTCCTTATTTCTTTGAAAGGATACGTCAAAACTTCGAGAGCATATAAGTAGGTAAATTTCAGGAACTGTCCTACCTGAAGTTAATTTTGATACTTTTATCCGACAATTATGAAATATTTAATTTTTGTATTTTCTACTCTCCTGACCGTCAGCTTTTCCACGCTGCATAGACTGTTGTAATGTGTCATATCCTTTCTAAGCTACTGTTACTTAATTACAAACCTATTACTCCATCCTCTTACATTTATGAAATACTATACTTGTGATTCCAGAACTGCTTCGACGAGAGTTCGTACGCGTTTCCAGTCATGATTCAATGGACCATATAAAAAGAAGCTAGTTACAACCGTAGTTTCGGACTCAAGAAAAAGGATAGAGACAGCTTGCAGATGACGAATGGAAAAGAGCCAAGTTCGCGTTATCTGATGATCGATTATTGAAGGCAAACGTTTACTGATTACGTTCAAAAGCAGATGCGAAGGAAAGAAATTGATAGTCGAAATTTCGATTATTGATTTTGGTACGTGATTTCGATAACAGTAATCGAGCTATAACATGTGCTTCGTTAATCCTGATGGTCTAACTTTATCATACAACTAGTGATTCTCGAATTACTTTGGACGAAATCAATTCAAATTCTTGTGTTAATCATTTTCTTTTTATGTCTGTCTTTTTTCGTCTGAATTGTATTTAGTGAGTAGCATGAATTCCAAACAAAGCAACGCCGTCACGTCTCATTTTCGCCGCTTCCTGAATGACCCAGTGTTTCCAATAGTGTACATCTATTTCAAGTAACCGCAGTATTTATTACTCTGATTATTAAAAGAGGCATCGGCCATAAGACTTTCGAAACAGCTCAACTTTTACTTTGAAGCAGCATAACGATCGATATGCTCTCTCTCTCTCTCTCACTCACACTAACAAATAACACAAACCAATATTAATTAACAACAAAGTACCAACAGTAACAAGTAAACTATTGGTTGACTTGGATTATTGACTGGTAGTATCATCACAGAAAACTTCTGAGGCTGACAAAATAGTAGTCAGATCACATTTGGTCCAAATAAACAAACGGATAACATATAGAAAG